AGCTGTTCTGTTTGTCCCATTCCCCTGTGGTCATCACAAGGGTGCTTCATGGGGCCACGGGTCACCCCACACTCTGGGAACAGAAATGGAGCCACACACTTTGCCCATTTAAAATCAAGTCTTTCTTTTTTTGGCTACTGAATTATATGAGCTCCTTTGAGCCAAGCAGAGGAACCCTCCCTGCCCTTTCCTCTTAGTGAGTAGAAAGCATCAAGTCCTCTAGGAAGAGCCTCCACACCTTGTCACTAAACCCTCAACCAGGCAGATTTGGAGGATGGAAGACGGGGACTCCCTGCACCTGACATAGTTTGGAGATTAGCCCCTACCAGATACACGGTTTGTAAATACATTCTTCCCCTCCTGAAGGTTGTCCTTTTATTTTATTGATTGTTCCTTTTGCTATGAAGAAATGTTTTTGTTTGGTATAGTTCTATTTGTTTGTTTTTGCTTTTGTTGCCTGAGTTTTGGTGCCATAATCAAACCATCATTGCCAAGACCCATGCTATGAAGTTTTTCCCACTTTGTTCTAGAAATTTTATGGTTGAAGATCTTGGTCTTCAGTCTCTAACTCATTTTTAGCCTTGGATGTGGTGTGAGGTACGTGGATATCCAGTTTTCCCAACAGTAAAGAGACTGTCCTTTCCTCATTGTGTGTTCTTGGCATTTTTGTCAAAAATCAATTAACCATGAGTATGGAGATGAATGTGTCTGTTTTATGTCAGTATCCACTTTGTGGATTGTGACATTGGGTAGTGCTAGGCCTCCAATTTTGTTCTCTTTCCTCAAGATTTCTTTGGCTTTTTGGAGTTTTTTGTTATTCCACAGAGATTTTATCCCAATAGGATTGTTTTTTTCTATTTCTATTAAAATTGCCATCGGGCTTTTTACAGAGGTTGCATTGAACCTGCAAAATGCTTTGGGTAGTATGGACATTTTGCAAAATGAACACAGGAGATCCTTTCATTTCTTGCTTTCCAGTACAGAAAACTGTCCCCTTCTTGATTAAATTTATTCCTAAACATTTTAATTTTTTGACACCATTGTAAATGAGATTGTTGCCTTAACTTCTTTTTTAGACAGTTTGTTATTAGTGTATAAATTGTAACTGATTTTTGTATGTTGACTTTTTATCCTACAACTTTACTGAAATAGTTTATTAGTTCTTACAGTTTTTTGATGGAATATTTAAGGTTTTCTATTTAAAATCATGTTATTTGCAAACAGAGATAATTTTAAATGAGACCAAAAAAATCTCATTTAAATGTTCCTCAAAACATCCCCAAGTACTTTTCCCAGGGTTACTTTCTTCCCTTATTCCTTGACCCACTCAGCTACCTTCCTTAGAGTGTAATAACACCCATTACTACAGACCTCAAGCAGTCACACATTCATTTACGTAGTTTTCACTTGGTGAAATAAAAAGAATGTGGAAATCAGAAAAATCTATTTTCAAAACCTGTCTCCATACTTACTATCTGGGTGGCTGTGGGCAGTTAGCTTCTCTGAGCCTCAGTCACCAAGACTGACCTGACATGAAGAATAGTGAGATTATTCATTGACGCACACAACAAATTTTTACTTCAGTAATACATGCAAAGTTCCTAGGGTACAGAAAATGTTCAATAAGTTGTAGTTATTACCATTCCAGATTCTCCATTTAGGTGCCCAGCTTTCTATAAACTACATACCTGAGCATTAGTTCCAACCAAACCTGCCCTTATCACTGAGAAACTGTTTTCTGAAGTAGGTGTTACAAATGAGGACTGGGGGACCACTGGAGCAAGTCTGTATCAATTTTGTACCCCTATCCTCAGCATGTGAGGGATCCCTTTTTTCCCAAATCTTGGACAAAAATAAATATATTTCTTATTCTTTTTTTATTTGGTGCAGATACTCTCTTGGAGCCCTTAGGAGAAATTTACCTCATCAGGACTTTGATTTTGGACATTTAGCCTCCAGAACTATGAGGAAATAAATTCATGTTGTTTTAATTCACTCACTTTGCGGTAGCTTGTTAAGGCCAGCCCTAGCAAACCCTGATAAATAGGCAGTGGGTAGCTAGACAGATAAAAAGGTAGGTAGGTAGATAGATGAGCAGACAGATAAACAAATACCATGTTTCCCCGAAAATAAGACCTACCCCCAAAATAAGCCCTAGCAGGATTTCTATGCATTTTTTAAATATAAGCCCTACGCCAATAATAAGACCTAGTGATGGGCATGGCTACACAGCCAGGCCATGTATTTCAGCGTGGAGATAAGACATCCCTGAAAATAAGCCCTAGTGTGTCTTCTTGAGAAAAAAATAAATATAAGACAGTGTTTTGCTTTTGGGGAAATATGGTAATAGACAGACAAACAGAAAGAAAGACGTAAATAGATGGCCGAAGGTTCAGGCCTCTTTGACTTAGCTCTTGGTCACAAAATGAAGACCTTAGGAACTGTGGAGTGGGGTATAGTGACCCCAAGCTTGTTAGTTGAAGAACATAAAATTACCATTTTTGTAAGTCAAAATGGTTAAAAGAGGCAATTTTATGTGGTCCGGTCTAATAAGTGTAACTGATTATACAAATAACGAAGCTTTCTGAAACTACTTTTTGCCCTCAGGAGCAGACCCTTGGCTGAATTATCAAAGAAAACATTTTTTTTCTGCATCACTTTCCCTCTATAAATAGATCCTTAGGCTTCATTCATTTCATGTGGATAAGGAGGTTTCGGCCTCCAGGACCTAAACAGAATTAAGCAGGGAGGCAACTGCTTTTTGCCGTTTCCCCGGCCCCTTCCCCGTTCCCACTTCCCTGCCGTGGTTTGTCCCAGGAGGCAATACTGAGGGCTCCATCTAACTCACATTCAAAGGCAAGCTTTCTCCAGGGCATTTTCTCTCATTCCATTTGGCACAGCAGTAACTGTGTTTGACAACATCTGCCTAACAGTCCCACTCTGCAGCTCCATCTGACACGCGGTGCCATCTCCATTCTCTCCCTGCCTGTCTTCTGAGGAAGATGTTTTCACAACAGAAGGGCGGAGAGAAGACAGTGAGGCTGTGCTTCCCAGTGGTGCGAGTCACGGGCCCACCAGAGGCCTTCCCCTGCCTCTCACTCCAATGCATCCAAAGACTTTTGACATCAGCCAATATTCTCTAATCCAGCTTTTGTCCTTGGGGATTTCTGAGTAGTCACAAGTAATTCCTAAACGTTTATTTTCCAGACTTTTCATGCATCTAATCTCTCTCAAAGTTTCCTCAACTAAGAACAAAAAATAACCCACTAGACATTTTTTTTCTTTTACCAACAGGAAAAGACACAATCAAGTCCTAAAACATATTGTGTGTGACGACTGCAAAAGCATGACAATTTGTTTTCACAAAAGTAGATATTTAATAGGAAATTCTATTTTGCAAAAATTTTTCATAATCCTTTACTTCAGATAAATCTTATAAGAAACTGATTTAAAGGAAAATCCCAAACCTTACCAGAGATTCTTCTACACTCTCACATAACTCAAATCATTATCTAAACCAAGTAGAAAATTCAGAATACAGAGTGCAATGGTAGCTTCTGCCATTTAAAGTATGAACTATTTCCATTAAGTTATCTTTGTTATCTTGCTGTGGCTTTACACGCTAACAGATTACTTCCAAATGTCACTCTATGTCTACTCGCTGAAAACCCAGTGCCATAATGCTCTTCTTTATTATATGAGGCTCTAAAATTTCCCTGTGTCAGATAATACATCAACAGCTAGTGATAGTAAGATGCCTTGAAGAGAAAAATAACTCCTTGGCCTCAAAAATGTATCATTTGACTTCGAAATTCATGATTTTCCTCAGCATATTTTATAACTGGGTGTTTAAAAATAGATTTTTTTTATATTTGTTCACACAAAATTTGAAAAAGAAAGAATGTGCTATAAAAGAATACCTTGTCTTTTTGTGGTTTTATGAGCAGAAACTACCTAAGGACAGAGAGTGTAAGTTGGGCACTTGAATGACGAAATCCTCTCTGGGGAACAAACTGCATCGTACCACCTTACACTGCATCACACCGAGGCGGAGACCTGTAGTTTCCACTCCCATCTGCTGCATTTCTTACTCATTAGGGCTGAGCCTAGGCCACTTTTGCCTCCTCAACTAACCTATGGGTTGTGGGGCACAAGAAGCAAGCCCAAAATAAGATTTTCCCTTTTTGTCCTAATGCAAACTTGTAGATGAGCAGGTGCAGCCCAGAAACATCAGCGTTTGTCCAGTACTTTACTGAAGCAACCCCAACATTGGAAAATCTAGGCAAATTAGAAGCTGATGACTCCTTTCATTTCAACTATTTATTTATTTAGACAGAATCTCAAGCTGTTACGCTTGGTAGTAGAGTGCCATGGTGTCACAGCTCACAGCAACCTCAAATTCTTGGGCTCAAGCGATCCTCTTGCCTCAGCCTCCCAAGTAGCTGGGACTACAGGCATCCACCACAATGCTCAGCTATTTTTTTCTTATTGTTCTCATTGTTGTTTAGCAGGTCCTGGCCGGTTTCGAACCCACCAACCCCAGTGCATGTGGCCAGGTCCCTAACCATACAGCTACAGACGCTGAGCTGTCAACCCCTTTTATATACCAAGATTTTCTAGCATATAAAAATGTAAATATTTTTACATTATTAAAATTAAAAATTTTAAATACTAAAATTTTGCATATAATATATATCTAAGAACATAACATATATACATATCCTGTATCTCCAGGAACATTGCTGATATACAAAGTACGGTCTACCTGCCTCTCTGATACTCCTTTCCACGCTTCTCCTCCCCAGGAGCCCATCTAGTTTTAGATCCAGTTGCTTTCAAAGAACCACACAGTTTCCACCAGACAACACTATCTGGGTTACACTCTCACAACCAAGAGTCAAACGAGGCAGCTCACACAGTGGCTTTCTGGCCCCTGTGTCCTCTGAGTCTCCAGGTCATAGGCCCTTTAAAGCTGCTATTAGGTAATGAAATACACTTACTGTTTTCTTTAACACTTTGAGAGCAAAAGGCTTCTGAGTCCCCTTCTGTTTGCATCTGTACACGATGGATGTAGCACCCCTGGAGGGGGAAAAGGACAAAAAAAAAATGTTACGCTTGAAAATAAGGATGCCTTGCAATAACTCTCACAAGTGTTTATGAGTTCTCCTTACAACCAGCCCTAGATATCAAGAGTGCATTTTTTTCTTAAGACTAAATATAGTTTTCTCAGGAAGTTCTAGATTGTCTACACTGCTCTTTTCTTCCCTCCCCATCCCTATACAAGTAACAACCTAGGGCTGTTACATTCAGTAAGCTCTAGAATACATCTAGGCCTCGGGAGGATATAGCTTTTGGAGGAAATCCATCCCATTTCCAAGCTCCAGGGCTTTACAAAAAATATGTATCTGGAGTAAAAGAAACCGTATGTCTCCAGGGAGAGTAAGTTCAGCACTCTGATGTAAAGGTCGGAACAGTCTGTGCTTCCATTACTCAGTATGGAAGCTTTGCCCCTCTTTCTTTTTAACCTATAAAGAAAAATGATAAGAATGGACTCAGTAACTATCTTGATATATGAACAAGGTTACTAAAAGGAAAGCTTTAAAACGCAAGCTGGTGGCTTGCAAGCAAGGTGGCTCACACCTGTAATCCTAGCACTTTGGGAGGCCAAGGCAGGAGGATTGCTTGTAGTCGGGAAGTTTGAGAGTTTAAGATCAGCCTGAACAAGAGAGAGACCCTGTCTCTACAAAAAACAGAAAAATCAGCTGTGCATGGTGATGCGTGCCTCTAGTCCCAGTTACCTTGGGAAGGTGAGGCAGGAAAATCCCTTGAGCCCAGGAGTTTGAGTTTGTAGTGAGCTATGATGATGCCACTAGACTCTAGCCCTGTCTCTAAAAGCAGAAAAGAAAAAAAAAAAAAAAAGGCAAGAAAATGTGGTCCAAATGCTTCCACTCCACACATAAAGCAAGAGGGTAAGAGAAAGAAACAGAGACCAGAAGGGGCTTATCAACTAAACAAGCTTAAGTTTCAGCTTCAGAGACATTTTAAAGTAAAATCAGTTTGAAGTAAACCTGTCAGATTTTGAAGATTAGGACAAAGGACCTCTTGTGATTGATAGATAGATAGATACATAGATAGACAGACAGACAGACAGACAGATAGACATATATAAAGTGTATATAATGTATAGTTGTATACTTCTAAAATTTGAAATAAGCATGTAGAATTATAAAATTCACATTCTCAGCCATCTAAACACAACAAATTTTTAACTGAACCAAGAGAAGCCAGAGATTGGTGTGTTGCTAATAGTTAAGAACTATTTTTCCACACTTTTAAAACCCTTTATAAGATATCACATGAACATAAAGAAATGGAATAAAGGTAAGTATCAAATTCAATTTTCCTCATTTTTTAATTGCTCTAAAAGATAACTAAAGCAAAAATATTAACGAGGAACTGCGTTTATAACATGTGTACAGGTAAAATCACTGACAACAGCATGTAGGGTAGAGGGAAGGACTGGGGAAAGACTGCCCAGTCCGAACACGCCGTGTTAGGTAGTATGAGAGCAGGAACCAGAACTGGATTCCCACTCTCAACATATCTGTTGAATATAATATTAGAAACCCTAATCAGAACAATTAGGCAATAGAAAGACATAAAATGCATCTGAATAAAAAAGGGAAAAACTCACATGTCCCCATGTTCTGTAACGATATGATAGTGTATACAGAAAACCTTAAAGATTTCACCAAAAAAACTATTAGAACTAATAAATGAATTCAGTAAAGTTGCAAGATACAAAATCAACAAGTAAAAATCAATTAAGCTTCTATACACTGACAATAAACCGTCCCCCCAATCAAGAAAACAATCCCGTTCATGATATCATAAAAAATAAAATATTTAGAGATAAATTTAAACAAATTTAAATTTGTTAAAAACTGTAAAACACTGATGAAAGAAATTGCAGAAGATACAAATAACTGGAAGGGTATCCTGTGTTCACAAATTGAAAGAATTCACATTGCTAAAATGTTCATGCTACCCAGAGCAATCTGCAAATTTGGTGCAATTCCTATTAAAATTCCAAAGACATTTTTCTCAGAAATACATAAAGCAATCCTAAAACCCCTGTGGAAGGACAAAAGCAATCTGGAGCAAAAAGAATAAACCTGGAGGCATCACACTATCTGATTTCTTTCTTTCTTTCTTTCTTCCTTTCTTTTTTTTTGAGACAGTGTTTCAAGCTGTCGCCCTTGCTAGAGGGCTGTGCTGTCACAGTTCACAGCAACCTCAAACTCTTGGGCTTGCCTCAGCCTCACAAGTAGCTGGGACTACAGGTGCCAGCCACAATGTTTGGCTATTTTTTGGTTGTAGTTGTCATTGCTGTTTGGCAGGCCTGGGCTGGATTTGAATCCGCCAGCTCCTATGTGGCTGGTGCCCTAGTTGTCTGAGCTACAGGCGCTGAGCCACACTATCTGATTTCAAAACCTACTAGAAAGCTGTATTACTCAAAACAGCGAAGATGCCAAGAACACATAATGGGAAAGAAACAGTTGCTTCAACATAATAAATGAAGTTGGAGGCCGTGCGCAGCAGCTCACGCCTATAATGTCAACACTATGGGGGGGGCTGAGATGGGTGGATTGCCTGAGCTCAGGAGTTCCAGACCAGCCTGAACAAGAACGAGACCCCCGTCTCTAAAAACAGCTGGGTGTTGTGGCAGGCACCTTGTGGTTCCAGCTACTCAAGTTGAGCAAGAGGACTGCTTGAGCCCAGGAATCTAAGGCTGCTGTGAGCTATGATGCCATGGCACTCTCCCCAGGGTGACAAAGTGAGACTCTCTCCCCCCCAAAAAAAAAAAAATGATGCTGGGAAAACTGGATATCTATATGCAGAAGAATGAAATTAAACCCTTCTCTCACACCAACCTAGCCATTCCACAATGTATACATATTTCAAAGCATCATGTTGCATACCATAAAAATATGTAATTTCATTTTTAATTATAAAAATAGATGCAAAGAACAATGGAACAGAATAAAGAGGACTGAAATAAACCCATACTTTCATGTCAACTGATTTCCTACAAAGATGCCATGAACACAAAATGAGGAAAAGACAGTCACTTTAATAAATGGCGTTGGGAAAACTGGATATCCACGTGCATAAAAATGAAATTAGACCCTTCTCTCACCCTGTATTCAAAGATCAACTCAAAATAGTGAAAGACTCAAACATACCTGTTAAATGGCAATTACTGAAAAGATGAATGGTAAGTCTCGGTGAGGATGAGGAAAAAGGAACCCTTATAATACGTACAGTGTTGGGGGGATGTAAGTTAGCACACACATCATGGAAACCATTATGGAGGTTTCCCACAAAGGAAAAAATAAAACTACTGCATGATCCAGCAATCCAACTACTAGATGGATAGTCAAAGGCGTGAAGTGGTATCTCATCACTGTTTTAATTCACAGCTTTCTGATGCTCGGTGATGTTGAGCACGTTTTCATATACCTGTTGGCCATTTGTACATCTTCTTTTGAGAACTATCTATTCAGGTCCCTTGCATGTAACCATCACGTCAAGGAGACAGCTGCCCTCCCACGTTCACTGCAACGTGGGCTCTACCGGCATGTTCAGCAACATATACATATTTCAAAACATCACGTTGTGTTTCATACAAATACATAATTTTTATTTTTAATTAAAAAGTATTGGAACATATACTTCAAATATACTTTTGTTTGTTTGTTTGTTTAGTAGGCCCTGGCCGGATTTGAATCCACCAGCCCCGGTACATGTGGCCGGCACCCTAACCACTGAGCTACGGGCACCCAGTCAAGAAAAAACTTTTTAAAGGCTACAAAGAATAAATTAAAAGAACAGAACAGCCTAAATAAAATTTGTGTGAAAATAACAAGTCAGTAATTTCTCAAATATACATACTCTTTGCGGAAATTAAATGATTAAGTGTGTAAACACAATTTTAGAAAGTAATCATATTTTCAGTATTTTTACATAAAAACAAAAAGTATTTTGACATAAATCACATTAAAAGTTAATTTTTAATACAAAAGAACATTTTGTAAAATGTTGTTCTTCAATTCAAAATAGGATATTTAAAGGGAGAATCATCATAAATTTGCCTTAGATTCAAAGAAAGCAAGATTATAGATTAGAGGATATTATATTTATGGAGTTATTTAATTGAAAAAGAAAAAAGGCTTCCCTGATCATGTCTATTCATTCATAATATATTCTTCAACAAAAACCCAAGAAATATAGAAATTATTTCAGTTTGAATTTTGTCTATGATTTTTTTTTTTTGATAAACAACATTCATTCTCTTCTGACAATTTCTATAGTTCCATATTCATTTTTCTTACTCAAGTCTTGGGAAGCTACCTTGGAGCTCTATCCTTCTTCAGTATCCTGAGATACATACTAACAAAATGTTAAAGGCAAAAGATGAAACACAAATCACTATATTTTTATTACATAGAAAGAAGAGAAAGTAGTCAAACCTGTAATGTGTCTGTAAAATTGTCTATTTATACATGGTAACTACAACACAATGTGTAAAGTATAACACACATGAATGCATATATATGTGTTATATACCACACACATGCACACATATTACTGCTCCTGTAATGCTGTTAAGAAGCACCTGAGATTGGTACCCAGCACTGTGCACCACAGTTATGGAATGTGGGGGGAAAGCTCCAGATATATTTATCAAGTATAAAGTCCTTTATAAACACATTCAGGAGACATTCACACTGGGCTCTTTATCCGGTGGTTCATTTGTACATGTTCCTCATGCTCAGTACATAAGGAATAACTATGTTTTGTTTGTTTGTTTGGTTTTTGGAGAAAGAGTCTCACTATGTTGCCCTTGGTAGAGTGCCGTGACATCACGGCTCACAGCAACCTCAAACTCTTGGGCTTAAGCAATTCTCTTGTCTCAGCCTGCCAAGTAGCTGGGACTATAGGGACCCACCACAACACCCAGCTATTTTTTTGTTGTAGTTGTCATTGTTGTTTGGCAGGTTCAGGCTGGGTTCAAA